ACTAAGGAGACACACAATCAAGCACTGGCAATATGAACTTTAGTAGTACTGCCAATACTAAATTTAGTACTGGCAATCCTCAATTTACTACTTGCAAGCAAATACTGAAACTTGTCCGGGCCATGAGCTGTAGCAAAAGTTTCTCTCTTTGCGCAAGGCCTGAGAAACACAGGGTTTTGCACAAAGATAGAAACTTTTTGGATCCTTCGATGGAACTGCAAACGAAGCTCTGTCCGAAACTGTTCTATTCTTGCGCGGGACCCAGTCATCTGCAGAGGGGGGATTGCGCTCGCAGAGCTACCCCCCCTTCTAAACGCCCAAAATTTTTGTAAGGAATTTAAACAATTCAAATCCTGGCAATGCTCAGTCTAGTCCTGGCAATGCCAAATTTAATACTAGCAATACTAGATTAGGTTCTGCAATAACTAGATTTACTTCAGGCAAGCAAATCATAATGCAAACTGTTTCAAGTCTATGCCGCTGTGTTCCAGTCATTTTTGGTTCTTTCCCACAGGTACTTTTTTTGTTTTAACAAGTGTTCTCAATCGAATGAATTCCAAATGCTTCCATTTCATTGCAACTTGCTGCCATGTTGCTGTCCAGTTCTGTCCAAGTGTTTTACCAACTTTTCGTTGTTGTCTTGATTCAGTGATCTTTTCCAATTATGTTGTTGTTTTCAACCAGCTGAGCTTCGAAATTGAGACAACTGCGTTGAGCAGTGTTGGGCGGGCCGTGAAACCAAAGTTTGATTTTACAAGAAGTCGTCCTATTTGCCAGCGCCTGTTTACTGTTTTAAAGGAACATGTTCCATAAAGCCATGTCTGTCGTTTGTTTTTGCAGTTTGCTTGTTCTTGTTGGGAGATGGTTTTCCATGTTCATGCATCATTTGGCTGGAGTGCAGCCAGAAGGCTGCTGTGTTTTAGGCCCCGTATGACTGTGACACGGCAAGCCGGAATAGGCGCATTCGGAGTGATACTTGGCAGCGGCTTGACTTCCATACTCTTGCAGCAGAACCCGTCGCAATGGTTTGTCGTGCCGCAAGCTGCAGATGTCAAGTCGGGGCAACCGTGTGCAACCGCAGTTCCTACTTCCCCTTCTCCTGGCTTGACGTGTTCCAACTTCAGTCAAGGGCACCATGCGAAAGTGCAGGAGTCGTTTGAGAAGCGCAAGGCAGATTTGCTGCGGTTACACGAATACATGGCTAATTGGCAGAGCATTGACAAATCAGACATAGCATGCCACGCCCCAATGTGCATTTTGGAAACAGAAATGTTGTACTTGACCGTCAGAGAGAACCGACCCACCAAAGTTTTTTCGAACTTGGTCCCGCATGCGCTTGGAGCAGCGTGGCAATTTTACTTGGATTGCTTGACAATGATATGGTTCTCATTCGATATGGAGCACAAAGCTCCCTTTATTCTGAACCGATCACAAAGGCTACAAAAGCTCACTGCCCGATGGATGTTTGTGTTGGGAAACATCCAGTCCACATACCAGCCTCACCGTTGGGATTTCATGTGCATAGATGCTTTGCGCGAGAACAATTTTACAGAGTGGTGGTTGCACATTGTGCTCAAACCTGGTGGATTCATTGCCCGTTGACGCTATCCCAGTTCAGGCACATGACGTGTTTGTCCCTTATTTCGTGCCTGGGGACGGAGCGCAAACCATAGGGAGCCCAACTCCAGACAAGCCTGGTATTCGGTACAATGATTGCGTGGCCCATGGATTTACTCCAGAAGGACTAGGAAATTGAATGTGTGAGAGGAAAGACTCGTGATGTTATTGCACGAGACTTGGGGAGAATGGCGCTGAAAGGGACTTCAAATTGGATGTGTGGGCCTCCTGTTGCAGCAGGGGAAGGACCTGCGCGGCCATGAGCCGTAGCAAAAGTTTCTATCTTTCCGCACTGAAAAACACAGGGCTTGCGCAAAGATAGAAAACTTTTGACCGGAGAGCTTCTATCTTTCCGCGAAGCCGCAAAAACCTGCAGAGGGTTGATTCCGTTTTCGCACATATACTAAATTCCGTAGCGGCAACACTAAATTTGGTACTGGCAAAAATGTTTTAGCACTTGCAATCTAAGGGGACACACAATTAAGTACTGGCAATATTAAATTTAAATTTCGTACTGGCAATCCTCAATCTAGTACTTGCAAGTAATTTCACTTTTCCGGGCCATAAACCGTAGCAAAAGTTTCTATCTTTGCGCAAGGCCTGAAAACACACAGGGCTTGCACAAAGATAGAAACTTTTGACCGGAGAGCTTCTGTCTTTCCGCGTGGCCGCCAAATCCTGCAGATGGTTGATTCCGTTTTCGCACGAATACTGGATTAAGTAAATGTAGTACCGCCATACGAAATTTGGTACTTGCAACACTAAGGAGACGCACAATTAAGTACTGGCAATTTCAAAATTTAGTTCCGGCCAATATTAAATATAGTACTGGCAATCCTCAATTTACTACTTGCAAGAAATAATGAAACTTTTCCGGGCCATGAGCTGTAGCAAAAGTTTCTATCTTTGCGCAAGGCCTGAGAAACACAGGGTTTGCACAAAGATAGAAACTTTTTGGATCCTTCGATGGAACTGCAAACGAAGCTCTGTCCGAAACTGTTCTATTCTTGCGCCGGACCCAGTCATCTGCAGAGGGGGGATTGTGGACTCGCAGAGCTACCGCCCCTTCTGGAAGCCCGAAATCATTCCAAAATACATGTTTTTAGTAAGGAGTTTGAACCTCGCTAAAAATTAAGCTCAATTTAGTCCTGGCAAGCAATACCAGTACTGGCAATACTAGCTTAGGGGCTGAGACTACTGGATTTAACAGGCAAGCAAATATTATGACTTTTCCGGGCCATGAGCTGTAGCAAAAGTTGCTATCTTTCCGCAAGGCCTGAAAAACACGGCTTGCGCAAAGATAGAAACTTTTGACCGGAGATATCTTTCCGCGGGGCCGCCAAATCCTGCAGAGGGTTCATTCCGTTTACGCACATATACTAAATTCCGTAGCGGCAACACTAAATTTGGTACTGGCAAAAATGTTTTAGCACTTGCAATCTAAGGGGACACACAATTAAGTACTGGCAATATTTAAATTTGAATTTTGTACTGGCAATCCTCAATCTAGTACTTGCAAGTAATTTCACTTTTCCGGGCCATAAACCGTAGCAAAAGTTTCTATCTTTGCGCAAGGCCTGAAAAACACTCCTAGCAATAATAAATTTAATGCTTGCAACCCTAAGGGGACACACAATTAAGCCATTTGAGGGGTTAGGCAAACGTCGACGTTTGGGCAGCCCCAGAAAGGCTGCTTTTGAGGGGTTAGCCAAATATTGACGTTTGCCGAGCACTAGAAAGCGAGCTTCCATGTCCCAGGGCTATCCTCCAGCGATTCGAATGGCTAGGCAAACGCCGACGTTTGCGCAGCTTGACGGGTCAGGCAAATGTTGACGTTTGCCCAACCCAAAAAAAGCGGGCTTCCTTGTCCCGGCCTTATCACCCCCACCCACCCACCCACCCACCCACCCAGCCACCCACCCACCCACCTACCCACCCACCCACCCACCCACCACCAACCACGCACGCACGCACGCACGCACGCACGCACGCACGCACGCACGCACGCACGCACGCACGCACGCACGCACGCACGCACGCACGCCCGCACGCACGCACGCACGCACGCACGCACGCACGCACGCACGCACGCACGCCCGCACGCACGCACGCACGCACGCACGCACGCACGCACGCACGCACGCACGCACGCACGCACGCACGCACGCACGCACGCACGCACGCACGCACGCACGCACGCACGACACACACACGACACACACACGACGCACGCAACGCACACAACGCACACAACGCACGCAACGCAACGCACGCAACGCAACGCAACGCAACGCAACGCAACGCGACGCGACGCGACGCGACGCGACGCAGCGCAGCGCAGCGCAGCGCAGCGCAGCACAGCACAGCACAGCGCAGCACGCACGCACGTACGCACGCACGCCCCCCCACGCCACGCGCGCGCGCGTGCGCGCGCGCCCGCCCCGCCCGCCCGCCCGCCCCGCACGCCGCGCACGCACCGTGCGTGACGTTACGTGCACGCACGCCACGCACGCCACGCACGCAGCACGCACGCACGCACCCACGCACCCACCCACTCCACTCCCCAAAACACCCACCCACCCACCCACCCCCACCCCCCCCCCCCCACCCACCCACCCACCCACCCACCCACCCACCCACCACCCACACATCCACCCACCCACCACACCCACCCCACCCACCCACCCACACACCCAACCCACCACCCACCCACCCACCCACCCACCCACCCACCCACACACACACACCCATTACACAAATTAACTCATTTACACACATACACACATACACACATACACACACACACACACAAACACCGGACGCAACGCACGCAACGCATGCAAACAACGCACACAACGCACACAACGAACGCAACGCACGCAACGCACGCGACGCGCACAACGCACACAATGCACGCAACGCACGCAACGCACGCAACGCACGCGACGCACACGACGCACACATCGCACGCAACGCGCGCAACGCACACGGCATGCGCGCCGCGCGAGCTCACGCAAGCTCACGAGCACTCGCACGCGCACTCTCATGCGCACGCGCATGCGCACGCGCGCGCACACACAGAGACAGAAAGGAAGGACACGCCAAGAGCGGCGTCGCAAAAATGTTTGTCAGTCCTAGCCGAATGATCTCAGGGCTGACCGGAACAGCAAAGCGCCAGCTGACAAATCAACAAGCCAAGCTGCCAGCCAAGCAAGCATGCCGCCAGTCGCGACGCAGGCATGCTATTGCCATGCTGCGGATGAAACTTTAACTTTCGGCATGCTGTTTGACATGTTGCACAAAAAGTGGCACAGACGGGTGTCTCTATCATTCAGATTCGGCTTGTTGCCTGTAGACTGGCGCGCGGATTGGTGTTCGGTGAGGTGAAGACCTCCAAGTACACAGCCCTGACTTTTCTGCCGAAGAATATCTTCGAGCAGCTGCACAAATTTGGATGCTCGGGAGGGAATTCAGTCCTTCCCCTTTTGTGGGAACCTTGTTCCCGCTAGGTCGTCGCAACTGACAAGCTCATTGGTTTACTGTTGGTTTGGAGAGGACATGGGCGCCACTCAAATTCCCTACAAAAAGCCGGGGGTACGACGCAACTGTCCAGTGCTCTTTTGGGTAACCAAAATTGTGTGTGTGGGTCAGTTGAAAGCTGGGAGTGCAGGAGTTCAGATGCTGAGGAAACGTGTACTTCCTGTGTATCTCCATCATTATGTACTTGGGTGAAAAGACGCCCCTGTTCGTTGGCACGATCCGTGCCTTTTCCACGCTAGGCCTTCTAGCCTGGGCCTCAGGCCAAGGTCTGATTCACGCCCTCAGTTTGCTGTCAAAGGCGGTTTCAGGTGCAGTTCCTAGATTGGAGGCTCACTGGTCAGCCATTTGCTCTGAAATATCTGAAATCACGTCCGCGTTTTTGTTTGAAGGGATGACAGTTTGAGAGGTGATGATGATGGCGGTGACCGCCGCTGTCGCACTCTACGACGACCTCCAGCGGAAGAAAGCTGACGAGGAGATCAACAACTCCTTGGCTTCGGTGGTCGTTCGGGGCAGCGAGGCCTGGAAAAAGCGGCCCGGTGTGGGCTCACGGCCCGTGCGGCATGGATCAAGTTGAGACAAGTTCAGCTTCTTTGTTCTACGTGTTTGCGGAAAACCTTCCAGCCTGATGTATCGTTTCCCACTTTTCACTTCTTACAGCCTGGACTAGGCTCCAAAATTACTATGCAGCAGCGGCGGGTGTGCAGAGGATGTGCCTTTGCACTTGCTGGCATCTCTTGAACAGTGCAGCGTGTTTGGGCCCTTTCAAATGCAGGCATGCGTTTCTATTTTTGTTTTGCAGGTTCTTGAGGACAAGCTGCGGCTTTGGCACTGCAGATTCTGTTCGATTCGTTTTTGGAGCAAAACAGCAAGGCAACTCTTTGCAGTAGAGAAATCGGCATGGGATGTCGCGTTGCATAGTCCCAACCATAAATGTGTGCAGCCGCCTTCTTGATTCGTTCAATGGTTCTGGGTAGTCTATTTTAATTTAGTAGCAGGTTTGGATTTTGATTCATTTGTTGCTTGCGGGCAGAAGTGAAAGACAAGGCTTTGCGGCAGTTTTGATTTAACGGCTAAACCAGGAGCCTACGCTCACAACAGGGCATTTGTTGTGTTTTGTTTTTCTTGCTTTCTTTCGGCCGCTTTCTCAGAGTGCTGCTTTTGGCTGCATCGTTCAGCACTTGGCTGGCTTGGAGGGTCTAGGGTGGTTTTAGGCAGGGTGAAGTGAATGATTGGTTCGGGTTGGGTTCAGGGTGGGGTCGTGGGGGTTCAACGGTTGGTTTAAAGTTTGGGGGCGGAATTTAGGGCTGAGCCAAGGGTAGGGTTGTGGGTTTAGGGTCGCTGGGTGGGTTTTGGGGGTTGGCTGGGGGTGGGTTTCCAGGTGCCTGTATGTGGGGTGGGTGGGTGGGTGGGTGGGTGGGCGGGCGGCAGGCGGGCAGGCGGGCGGGTGGGCGGGCGGGCGGGCGGGCGGGCGGGTGGGTGGGTGGGTGGGAGGACATGGCAGTTCTTTCTTGAAAACCTGCTCTCCCTATGCAAGGTGAAGAGGAAGTTTCAGGATATTCGGGTGGGCGACGTCCTGCGGATTCGGAAGGACGTGTTGGGCGGTGGTGGGGCAGAGTGCACATTAGCCTTGGTAAAATTCAAAGCTCGCCATTAGCAGGACGGACATCGGCCGCTTGATTCAGGTTTAGGGAGAGAAGAACAGAAAGAATACCTTTGTGGCTATGGGGCTGGATGTTTGGATGTTCAGTTTAGTTCTTGAGGACATGCTTCTCAGAGTTGCATACTTGATGGCTGTGCTTGGAATCGGATGGTCACTTGGGTTGTACTGGTAGCTTAGATTTTCTGGGCAGGACGAAGAGTTTCCGGCGGACACCGTGCCGTTGTACTGCTCTGGTGACGGCGGAAACTGCTTCTGAGCATGTTGGGCAGGGGTGGTGGGGCGGAGGTGGGGGGGGGGGGTGATCAAAAATTAAGCAGAACATAAACGACTGTAGCCCGCTCCTCGGTGACATTCTAGGGCGGGCATCTTCCATGTTGCCATGGCTGGAGCATCTGCCTGAAGAGTGAGAGACACCAATTTTGACGTGAAGCGGGATGCCGATCCGCGCCAAGGCTACGTGTCCACTGCAAACCTGGACGGTGAGACTAACCTGAAGTTGAAGACCGCGCCTGAAGCGACGCAGATGTTGTTCCGAGGGGGCGACCAACTTGGTGCCTCAGCCCATTTGACCTGCTCGACACCGGTGTTACCGGACACAAGCCGCCTGTACATCTAGAACAAGCTTCAGTTCGTGAAGCTGAAGGGCCCAAGCATTAACATCGCAACGCACGCAGAAAACCTCCGTGGGCTTGGAACGAAAGGAGCGCCCACGGAGGTTCCCGGAAACCCTGTGTGAGGTGCACTGGCCCGGTTGGATGCCGAGATCCATGCGGAGGCGCCCAACGGCAACATCCACGCACCTCGGTGGGTGGACGGAGGCGAGCCATATCAAAATCTGAAGGAAAGAAGGGTATTGACAGTCACAGTCACAAGTAGGTGCAAGTTGCCGCTTTTTTACCTTGTTGCATATCTTTGCATAGCTTTGGGCACAACTCTTCAATGCTAGGCTTTGATTATGACAGGGTGCTATCATGTTGAGGCGATTTCGGCCTTCAACAACTGTTTCGCAAAACCACTTAGGGACTAGCAAATCCAACTCGTGGTGGACATTGGTGTTGAAAGAGTCTGCTGCAAATCGTTGTTGAAATCGGTTGGCCAGTGCCGGTGAGGAGCGTCGCTCAGTTTCAGGGAGTTTTGGGCGTTCAGAATGGTTCCTCCAAATAGGAAGCCAGTCGGTTGGCAGGCTATCCACCTTTTTCCGGCCAGCGCAGCTTGAACCATGCTTGGAGATCAGTCTGTAATCAACGATTATATGCGGGGCCTTCCTTGCCAGGGTTTAAGTCTTGGTGGCATCGCGGCATCACTTCTTTAGAGACAGAAGGGTGAATCAATGACCTGTATTTGCTGCTAGTCGGTGGTCCGTTGACGCGCTATGCTAATCAGAGGCTGGCTCCAAAGCCTCTGAGTCGTGGGAGGTTGATGGCGCTCGTTTTGGGGGGTTTCCCTTTTTTGGTAAGAGGAAACTAAAAAAGAAAACTCACCCATTTTGAAATTATATCCCCCGCGGGCCTTTGATTTGATCACCTCCTCTCATGGAACGGGGTGACCCTGGAATTCCGTTTGTAGGTCCATGTCCCGTTCTGTGGGGAAGACTCAACAATGGAAGTGAGCCCCATTGGGACAGCCACTTTAGGAAAGGTGCGTTTTTGTTGGTTGGGTTTGGGAGTGCCCATTTTGAGACTGACAATTGTTGGGAGTGTCCTACAGGGATTTGTTTTGGACTCATTTAAAGGAAAGATCGAAGGAAACGGTCCTAGCTAGTAGCTATGCAAGTGGTTGGGGATGGTTCGGGCCCTGGAATAAGAGTTTGACACCGACTGTGATATATGTTTGTCCTGGCAAACACTTTAGTGGTTCTCTGAGCATTTGGAAGATGCTCAAACCTGGACATGGGAACCTTTGAATGTCAGGCAGGAGAATCAGCCCAACGCCTGGCACGTCTTTTTGCCCGCTAGCTCTTTTGCCCGCTAGATCAAGCACTCCGCAGGTTGATCCCCCATTCTTTTCACCAGTCGTCCTTTTTGAGCATACAGCATAGGTATATTCATGCATATTCCCTAGACGCTGAGCCATGCTCTGGAGAGAAGGATCCACAAGATCACAGCATGTTCCGGTTGGGTGGGTGTTCCGGTCTGTTTCCTGACAGCAGCTGTTTGGCGGCATTTTTGTCGGGCTGGTTCCATCAAAATCTGGAAAGGCTCTCACTTTCTAGCATCCTTTTGCCGGTTTGACAACGCTGGTCACCCATCAGAACTCGGAGAGCGTCGGAGCTTGTCAAGTGCGCTGAGAGCTCAGGACTTCAGTGGGAACATCTCAGTGGGGGCTCAAAAGCTCTCTCTGGGACCCAAGCAGCTGCTGATGCGGGGCACTGTGCTCCGGACCTGCTGCTTGCGCATGCGACTGGCTGTCTGCACCAAAGTTCATAGTGGAAGCCGGGGAACGGTAGAAATATCACAGCTCCCCAGTCATGTTTGCTCTGAGCCTTAGCTTTCCCTTTTCGGTGCAGGAATACAGAGAGCTGCCTGTGCAACCTGGCTGAGCAAGCAGACATCAGGAAGAACAAGTGTCAGCGCTGAGCACTTTCTGCACATAATTCTAATTTGACACACTTTAAACAGTTTGTGTTGCAGGTGCGTCCTGTGACAAATCCTGTGCCTGCGCAAAGTGCGATTTGGGGGGGGGGGGTACAATATCTTCATGGAGCTACTACGGACGCCACGCCGGTTTTGGCACAGGCCTTGCGGTCTACACTGGGCCCGACACCAGGAGCTCGGAAATGTGCAGGGAGTTTCAGTGTGTGTGTGTGTGTGTGTGTGTGTTTTTGAGGCTACCCTTTCAGTGTCAGTGTGGGTTAAAAGGACACCAGAAGGAACATCAATCATATTTTGGGGACCCCTAGTTTGACACATGGAGTCTGATAATGGACGATCAATCTCAAGGCATGATGTCTCTAGAATTTTTCCAGGTTCTGTTTGACCACTGCGAAAGACATTGAGCACGCAGATCGCCATCCTTTTCTGCATGCAGGATGGTGAGAAATTCCAGACCAGCGCCCATGAAGCAATCCAATTTGGAGCGCACGACGAACCAAGCTATGCTCATGGTGCTGTGCCGGCCTTGGAAAGACTCGGCACAGAGGGAGACTTGCAAGGAGTTGCTGCCCAAAACCAGAGAGGCTGTTTAAAGGATCATTGGGAGGGGTTCTCAGGTTTGGACTCACAGGCTCCACATTGGCTTCTTCCTAGGGGTTTCTGTGCACGTGGAATGTCTATTTTGGATCCACATGAGTGAGACACATACGGCTTTTTGAATGCTCCATGTTTCAGGGAAGCAAGGGTTTACTTCAATGGGGCCATGCCTTAGACTCCAGGATCTTTCACCAGCTACTGAGCGAGCCAAGGGCCACTCAGACCGTGATTTCCGGCATCAGCTCGTTGTGCCATCTTTTCATGAAGCCTCCGAAGAGCCATTGGTACTTGGAGGAGGAGGAGATCGTGCTGCCCCTCAGCTGCTGCGATTTGGGAGTTGACCTTGGAAGGCTTGTGGCTCATTTTGGGAGGGGGCAGTCGGCCGCGAGTGATCCGAGGCCTGAATTTATCGGATGGTGGCTGACCTTCTTCACGCCTTCGAGCTGCAAGGGATGAGCCTGGTTTGCTGTGGAAATTGCGGGGCTCACTTTGCCCCACTGGAGGGTTACCAATAACAAGGTGCTGGATGACCATGATTTTCGACTCTCCCAAGCGTCCTTTGCTTTCTTTCTTTCTTTCTTTCTTTCTGCATCTCTCTCTCTCTCTCCCTCTCTCTCTCTCTCTCTCCCTCTCTCTCTCGCTTCCTCTGTGAGGCTCCAAAAGAAGGTTCGCGATCCGAGGCTGTACTCTAACCTGATGCCGATTTCTCTCTACCCCACGGTGGAGTTCTGCAACGCGTTCCAGCACCCCGGCGCCTGAAAACATCCCCGGAAGGACGTGCCATGGTTTGCTCCCATGGCGGGCGAGGCGCAATCTCCAGCGTATCTTTCCGGGGGATAAAGCAACACCTGGACGGGCGATGCTCAGCTTGGCTTCCTTCTCAGGTGCTGGCAGATTCAGCACGACGAACAGATGTGCCTCGGAAAGCGAGAGCCCAGAGCTCGAGAGTTGGGGTCTCGAAGCCGAGGCTCTACCAATGCGAGGGCTTCAACGAGGGGCGGCCATTCTCAGCTCGGACCCGCAGCACAAACCTCTCCCAGGAGTTGGGACAGGCGGGGTGTGAGGCTAACTCAAAGTGGCGGGCAACCCGATCGATGGATTTTTCGGGGGATCCCTCCAAACAGTTGGGTCCAGAAAGGCACTCGGGCTTCCTCGTGTGACACATAGCTGGATGCCACACTTTGCCGGACCAAAGATGGCATGGTCTGTTTGTTGGCATTGCCCATCTGGAGTGTTCTGTTCAAACGGCCAGCGTTCGTTTCAACTCCAAGTCCGTTGCCACTGCATCCATGGCGCATGTTGGGATCGGGTGGCAAAATTTGCCACTGCCAGGTCGGCTATCTTTTTTCCGACAAGACAGGCTGGGAAGGGTTGGGCTGTTGAGGGAAGTTTGAGAGGCATTCGTCCCCTCTCAAGATCCAACACTTCCCAAACTTTGGAGCCTCCGGCTTGCTCCGCCGACATTGGCCTCTCCCTTTTCTCCTTCTCCCGCGTCCTCTGACTTCCTCGTCCTTTGTTTCTCTTTCATTCCCCTTCACTCTCCCTGCATTTCTCATTCCTTTCCCCTTCATTTCCCTTTCAGTTCTCCTTCGTTTCCCTTTCATTTCCCCTCGCTTTCCAGTCATTTCCACTCCTGTCCCCTGCATGTTCTTGCATTTCCCTTTATTTCCCGTTCATGTCCCCTTCATGCCCCCCTTCATTTTCCCTGCACTTCCCCTTCATTCCCCGGTTTTTTTTTTTTTCGGAAAATACTGGAAGTGCAGGGAAAAAAACACGGTACTTTTCAACGTTTTCGCAACAATGATGTCAAAAGCACCGCGTTTTTTTCAGGTTTTCGGCAAAAGGAGGCGGAACACCCGAACCAGCAAAGACGGCTCCCCCCCCAAATTTGACGTGTCCCGGGTGTTTCTCGTTTGTTCTGTGCTTGTTTCACAGCATCCACGCATGCACCAATCTCATCTAGCTCATAGACTCATAGAGAAAGAGCCCGCTTTGCTGACTGTGGTACAGTTTACACTTGTTCCTATTGGAGCCAAACATTGCTCACAATACATTTGGTCATTTACCTCTTCAATACATATTTACCTTCCTTCTGCATCAGAGTAGATCCAGCCAGGGACCTACGAGGTGTATTCTGGGAATTGTTGGAACCCCCTATTTCCAACATCAATTGTGGTTCTCCGAACGCAGGATGTCGAGTGAAGAGATTTTTTATGGAGCAGAACCACCCGCAGCGGCTTTCTTAGGAAGCCGGCATGAGCTCCCATGAAGAATGCAAAATTGCCTCCATCGTGTGACGGCTGTTTTATTTCGGTATGAAGATCTGGTACGGGGTTGGATGACATTCACGGATATAGAGCCCTCAAGACAAGGCCTGCTTCTCAAGAACCGGCTTGTCGAGGACGCAGCGATATACCGCGAACTTTTGAGGAGTGGAAAATGTTCGCAATTTCCTTTGCGGATACTTCTTGAAGGGCACGCAGAATGTATTCCTATATAGATTCCTCAGTTTCTCCAATCATCGCCGAGGAAACAGTGACTTCGTGACGTAGATTCGAGATTCTCCTGCGAAGACTGCGAGAAGATACAGCGCAAACAGACAAGTCCTGAGTATATTTAGGCAATCAATGACGCAAGTCAGAGAATGTGTGATCAGCACAATCAAAGACTTGCTGAAACAGCAGGTATAACGCAGGGTATGCCGCAAAGAGCCGCAGGACCCATAGTGATCCAGTTTACCTCGATGCTGACAGGTTTGCCCGAGGAAGAAAACGCAAGCATTCACAGGCTTTCCACTGTCAGACAACATATTGCCAACGAGACTGATTGGTATCTTCATTGACCCTTAGAGGCGTCCAGCTTCCTCAGTATAATATGAGACCACCAAGGCCCAGTACTACGACCTTTTCATCATCACCAGAACCTCCCTTCAGGGTCCAAACATTAGCCGCCTGATTGTGGTTTCCTGAAAGGGTAAAAAGCTTCTTCATCCTCTAATGGGCAAAAGCCCTCTTCGCTATCAAGGCCAGCATGGCCGACGAGACCGCCGCCGGTCAATCCTACTGGGGCAAGAAAGGAAAAGGAAAGGGAAAATCCTTCAACAAACCCAAGGATAAAACCAAATGAAACCAACCAGTCGCAGGCATAACCTTCCTAAAGAAGTCACGAGACCAATATTCAGAAGGGGCTCGAATTATCTTTGTAAGGAAAGGCACCAGCGTCAGCCTCTTGAAGGCAACACCAAGAATCAAGGCAGTTCTACCAGACTTGCCCAGATATAGCCATTGTCATTCTGTCAAGGAGTGGCGCATATTCTCCTCAGATTCTTGAAGGTCAAAGATATGTTTGAACCATTCTCTGACAGTGACATTTCCAACATTCGATCCAAGTTGGACGAGACCGATGCGGAGTACCAGCGCCAGTACTCGCACGAAGATCCAGGCTCTTTCAATAGCCAGATAGACCCACTTTACATTGACGATAAAGAAGTAGCCAAACTTCAGAGAGCAATGAAGCAATTCCCGGCAGGAACGGAGCACCTCACACGCCGTACAACAAGTGCGTCATGTACAACTGCACGATCAGCGTCAAATCACCGATGACAACACCGCCGAGTGACGCTTGCGTGTTTTTGTGGTAAGTCAGCACACCGGGTAAGCTTTGGGCTTTGCCAGCGCGCAGATGTGACTGAAACGACTATGAACCGCATGTCATTCAAAGAAGCACCAACGATTCCCAACCAAGGGCGAGCAGAATGGTGATGGTGACAACGATCCACCAGGTCCACCAGATCGGCCTGATGCCACAAGCGACTCAGCCACCGAGACCAGACCCACCAGCCACACCCAATGTACGCATGCCACGCGCCAGTTCTGCAACCGCGGCAGCCACAGCCTCAGTTGGCTACGCAGCCAATTTCCCCGACTAGTCGGCTCAATCGGCTGGGAAGGGTGATGTTTCAAAGCCTTCGGCCGACAGTTGTCGTGCCTCCACCTAATTCACTTCCACCCGTACCTGAAGATGACGATGATGAAATGCAAGAAGCACAGGAAGCAAAACCGTCAGTACGAGCATCACCATCGGATGATTTTCCGCCACTTCCGATCTCCTCATTAGGACCCCAGCTCTTCCCTGGTGAAACCGACGAAGATTCAGACCTGGTACTGGATGAAGCGCTCTGGATACAGTTCACCCACGACCACAAGGTGTGCAGCAACACCGGTTCATTTACTGTTCCAAGAGACATTGAGGATAGACCCATTAGTCGCCACACAGTGCGTTCCGCTGAGGCCAGTAACAACTTCTTGTGCTGCGCGCACACACGCGACAGCGCAACACGTACGACGTTGAGTCTGTGCCATGGCCTCAACGATGACGACCGAGCAATGCTCACACTGTATACCGAGAGACAGGAGTCCCTCAAGGCTTCGAAAAAAGAGCATATACAAAGCAAGTCCCACACATAGGAGCCCGTATGAAGAAACCTGCCTTATGGCCACCAACTCAGATCCAGGAAAAGTCCGTCATAAGGGTTTTTACTTGGAAGCCCTTGATTATGTCATGGATCCAGTCTCAGGCAACAACGCCCAGCAGACAGGTCCATGGTGTCATGCGTGCAGATGATCTTTGCATGACAGGTGATTTGAGAAACAAACCATGGTAAGATCTGTAAAAATTTCCAGGTAGGTTCCGAGGACAGCGAATCGAGTGGAAACATGATCCACAGCACCGAGACAATATCAATTTTCACCAGAATGTAGCCATAGATGAACTCCAGAAGACCAACTTCGAGAAACATTTGGGGGATGGTGCGAGAGCCACAACTAAGACCGGAAGAACGAACTATCAAGAGGATACTTCTCAGTATGAGATTCTGGCCTCTTAAGATTAGCTGGACACCCTGAACAATGACAAATCATCGCAACGTGCACATGTGATTTTTCTTGCGCAAGTCCCTCGATTATTATGAAACTCATAAGATCACGGCAACTACCATGCCCACTAAGACTACTGTGGCAGAGTTGCAGGGACTGATGCGATGCTTCGGCACGTGTCTGGCAAACTTGCAAATGTCCATATTCGCACTGACGCAAACAACTTAGTAACCGCTGCATCCACAACCCATCAACCTGAACTGAAGGAAACCATGCACCTTATCCAAATGCTCCGTAAGGAGAGTAGTAGTGGTCGGATGCATGATCTTGCCCATGTACGTTCAGAATATTGTCTTGCAGATTGTTTGACGAAGAGCTCTGCCAAGGCCGACGAGCTCATCAAATCCGTCATGACAGGTATTCTTCCAAATGTTGATTCAGAACAAGGCGTTCCTGGTTGAATGGTTGGCCTACAATACTCACACTGGTCCTTGCATTTGCACTTTCTTGGAAGAGAATATATCATACGAAGTTCACTTTTGGCATTCACCGAAGCGGATCTCCATCGAGGATTTCAACGAAGAACCATGAACCGTTTTTGGCTTGCTTGAAATCGCACGAACCCTTTCAGAATCGTCGACTGAAGAAATTTGTGTCTGCTCCCGCAGCCATTTACTGTTACAACCTATCGTGATGTGGCGCAATTTCGGAAGACTAAGAGTGCAAGCAGGCAGACATCCAGATCCCGATCCTCCAGCGGAATCAGTCAAGTCAGAAGAAGAGAAGTCAGCCATCGCGGAGGATGAGGACATGAAGGGCCCAGAAGAGCTGATAGCTTCCCCGAAGAAGCAGAAGCGAAGAAGCAGAAGCTTGAACCAGATTCAGAAGAAGAGCAACATGAAGTCCTATCAAATTGATACCCAGAGATTCCAAGGATGAAGAAGACGAACTAGGAGAACCTCAAGGTTCTCTTCGCCCCGCAGATGATGAAGATCCTGATTATGGAGGCGATGAAGAATCGAAAGAGAACCAGAAGAACTTCCACCGAACCAGCTTCCATGAGAACACCCATTTGCATCTTTTGCTGAATCATTCATTACTGCAATCTCCTGGTTCTACCAAAAGTGTCATTTCATAAATGAAGTTCAACCGAGGTGTCAGTATCTTCCACAGAACCAGCGTGGCTACACCGTCTTCAAGATCCGGGAGCACGTTGGAGACAGATACGACGACGCTTGATACGTGAAGTCCATCAACGACATCATGATATGTTTGAGTGACGCATCACGGACATGGCGCATGCAGATTGTTCCCACGGTATTCAATTACCAAGATCCCCATGACACATCATAATGAAGGCATTGGCAAGACTCCTCTCAGCCAAACCATGGTAACTGCCCAGTTGATACTATTCCTCCAAGAGAAGATATCCAGAGCCATAACTGCAGTCCTGCGACACACGCCAGAACCGAATAGCAGGCACACCCCTCTCAAAGGAGAACGAGATTGAAGTATCCGATTGGACACCGTCCTACAAAAAATCCGAAGATTCGTTCGTAGCATAATAGCATCCATCTTTGATGTCTCCAAGAACCGGTGCTGAGTGGCAATCACATACCAAGGTGATCCTCCTGGCCTCCACCACAATAATCCGAAAGATGGATAAGAGACCGGAACCTTCCTAAAAGGGCAGGGAAGTCTAGCAGATATACCTTGCGCCACTCTCCGGGACAGACGCAATATTCGGAACGTCGAGAGGATGCTCCCGAGATTTGGCAAAGAATAACCAACCTCTTCAGCATTTTGTAATCAGGTTCGAAAGGCAGAACAAGAAAGAGAGTCGAAGAAACATAGAGCTTCAGAAGCAGCAGGACCTCCGCGAAAGGCCCCAGCAGAATGACTCCGAAACGGACAGGGCATCCTGGTCCTGGAACAGCTGGAACTACAACTGGGTTCAATGTTCACAGGACTACAACATCTCCATAGAGAAAGAGCTGTCCGAATATGTGAATGGTATAGACTACAATTATTTCGATTGGACGGGAATGGCAAAAGGGCTTCATGAAACCGCGGTGGAAATTATGAACAAGCTGACGGAGTCAGAGTTCAAACCGCCGCATTCAGGTTGTTGTTCGCAAAAGTCAGCCCAAGTTGGGTTTCTTTTGTCCTTCTTGTTGTAGAAGAGGGAACCATTCTCTGCCTTCTCAATTTTGCAAGCACTACCGGCAAGCTGGAGATTAGTGAATCCGGTCGGCGTAAACACTGGATATACCAGGGGGGGCAAGCTTGAAGACTGCATTGTTCCAGGTGTGATCCGAAATGACCCTGGACATGTGCTGTGTCTTCAAGAATGCAACGCGATTCTTAATCCCATTGTCCAAGATATCTTTCGTCAGGGCGGGAACACAGGTATTGCACTGACAAAGGGAGGACGCGAGGCCCTCGGTTGCTTTGTGAGAACAAAAAACCGCCAGGGTTGAACTTATCAACCGTTATGTGCTGACCATGTCGCTGACCTGCGCATGTCTGGAGCATACTTCAGAGTTTGGTACGGACTGCTATCAGAATTGAAGATACCAAGGTTCCACTAAACAGATCCCAGGAGAACCACTTCCTGCGACGCACACTGGAAGGAGTCCGACAGTCGGCAAGATATTCCGCGATGTCATCATCAGCACCTCCAGCAATGAAGGAATCCAGGATGTAAAGGTTTTCCCTGATGGAAGACTCCTATACCTGGATTTCGGTATGGAGAAGTACACACCCGACGCAGTCTTAACTGACGAAACAAAGGGTGAGTTCAACAGAACCCATGCGCATCGTGCTGGACTACCGTTCCTAACGGTAGGAGAATACCATTACGAATGCAGTCCGACAAGGTCGTACCAGGCGGACATCGGAAACATGGTCCGATTCGTAAATCCGGGGTTGACTTAGCGTGCAACAGGCTTAGCAAACCAATTTGCATCTCCCAAGATTTCCGCCATGCAAGTGACCGTGGAAGGAATTGTGAAATGTTTCAAGGAGGCTCAGAAAGAACCATTGGACCAGCTTCGTATCAGTTACGAACGCGCGGCTTCGAGGAGATCCACACCTACCGCCGGATTGGAGCATGATGGGTGCTACGGCGTCCTAGATTGCCTAGTAACCCACGTGTTCCATTGGGCCAAAACGAACCGAATGCGAGATCTTTGACAGAGAAACACAACCGACGATCTCCGACGATGAGAACCAGCCACTGGGAACAGATTCCCTGATTACAAGGTGAGCTCAGGCGAAAGATACAAGGTCCTGATCAACGAGCAGCTTCTAGTTGGGTCAAGTGGTTCGGATTGGCACCATCCTCTCCTCGTAAACCTGGATGTTATTCATGAGAACTGTAAATATCCGAGACAGCAAGAGGGATTGATAAGGAACGCGGATACTCCAGCTGAGGAGCAACCCGCATTGGCGCAACGATGACATACTAATGACAGATGATGATGAATAACCATTTCCTACATTTCAGCTGGTATTTCGCCGGAATTTCTCACCATGATGCTTGGTACAGTCAGTGTCTTTTCTGCCTCTGCCGTGTACATATCAGACGATTCTCACTTTGAGCCCGTCAATTGTGTGTCTCCGTGCTCATGATTGTTTCGGAACCCAATAGTTTTAAGGGCTACGGTACAAATAATCCAATGTGCCACTACTGCACTACTCCGTATATTTTAGGCTTCTGCGTCGGAGTAGATCCAGCCAGGGACCTACGAGGTAACTTCTGGGGATTTTGGGGACCCCCTATTTCCAACCTCAGGGGGCTTAGGTGTCCGACACGCCAAGCAATGTTGGCGGGGATTTTTGCTCGACAGCCAAAGGAGTCCCGTTGCTCGGGCCCCGTTGCAGTCGCCGGTGCGAGGAACGCTGACCCAGAACGATATGGTTCTCAGGCGCGCAGAACCACAACTCCAAGGTGAGATCATAGTCTTGGAAGGCTTCTTTGAGGGTACCCCCTTTTCGTCGTTTTTACAAGGAAAGCAAAAAGGCAAGCCCCCCCTTTTTGGGGGGACGCATCCGAATCTTCGTCTCAGACGACACTTGAACATGGTTGGCTTGGAGTGAAGACCCCCTCACAGCTTGGATTGTTTGCACCTCCGGCCGTTGACAAAACTGCAAGACATGGCCATTGTCAATTCGCGACTGAGCCTACGCCTGAAGATCCATGCTTGATGTGCGCCCTGGACAGGACACTGCACCAAACGTGAGTCTAAACAGCCAGCCTCTGGTCCTTTTTAAAGGCAAACCAAAAGCAGATTGTTTAAACAATGCCCTCCCTCCATCAATCATGGAAGCTAACAGAAGGGTTTTGGAAGACTACACTCCTTGTGGGGACGCCCTTTGTCCACTTCCATGGTTGTTGGAAAGAGGAAACAACCGTCGTGTGACGGGCCGATTGGTGGCCAGGCGCGTGTCGATTGGTGGCCTGAAGTTTGGCAGCTTTCAAGAGAAGCGGCCGCAGGAGCAGGGGGGGGAATCCACTTGGGTTGCTTGGGCAAAATTTGTTGAGACACCCGTTTGGGGCCTTTAAAAGGAAGCCATCAGGAGGCTGGTTTGAACAAGAGTAGTTCGAACGCGTTTACAGTCAATTAGGGGTTGGCGCAACCCTGTGCAGTTGCAACAGAGCAAATTGTTTGGCAGAGGGTTTAGAACGTGGGTTCTGAACCTCTCCACTGAACCAGGCGGCTGTCGTCTTTTTTGGACTATAAACGGTGATTTGCGCAGCTGTGCCTCCGCCAATGGCACCTTCGTGACATCTTGAGCCAAGGTTTGTTTTTGCTGACCTAGCACCCTTCACAGGTAATGTCCCATTGCTTGACTGCCGCAGGACAAGCTTGGGCTGGCAGAGGATGAGTCTGGGCTGCAAGTGCCACCAAGCACCCTGAAGAAAACCTGCGAGACTTCATGGCGTTGTTCAAGACCCTCCAATGACTTGCAATTCCTTTGGTACTCATTGCGATCGATTTGCGCAACATCCCCAAGCAATGCAAGAACAAATCGGGAAACAAATCCAACCAAGCAAACCAACTACTCACAACGGATTGGTTTTTTTCCAGCATCCCGTTCAGGACGGCTTTAACGGCGGGCCTGAGCTCCAGGCGGGGTTGGGGGGTTGAGGGAGGGAGGGAGCTGTGAGACGTCGTGTTTTTGGAACAAATCGAAGTGAACCATGCTGCGCACTTCGGGCCCGGAGGAGTTTCTTTTGTAGGACTGGACACATTTCTATTCCCTGGGGTTGCTGAGATGTGCTGGGATGTGGTGCATGGGCGGTTCACTGTGTTCTATCCATGGTGATGCTGCAATTGGCGCAGAAAAAGGCAGAGTTCAGGGGACGAGTTTAGCGGTGCACCAACCCTCCTCCCAAACCCAAGAAGCACCGACCTCTCCAAGCATAGGAATGGTCTTACTGCGTAGGAAGCCTCAACCCTTTCTTGGTGTAAGGGAAACCATCTACGTTAGGGGGCTTAGACACAGGCCTGTCGGCAAACTCTTGCTGAGTTTCCATCACGGCAGGATCGCCGGTCATCCATGCCCAGCATCGATCAGTTCTTGGAGGTGCTTGCAGAGACCTGGATGACAGTTTTAGATGCGCTTTTTGGTATAGCGTCAGAAAGGCAAGTCTGACAGGAAAACAACGGCATTCGTTTGACCTAATCGGGTTCGAGGCTCCCGTACAACAAACACACACTGTTTCAGTTGGGGTTGCGTGCCACGTCGTGTAGGCGCCCAAAAGGAAAAGTCATTTGCCAGTGCTGTGCCCTCTCGGCTTGAGAGCGGCTGGGTCTTGCGAAGTATCGGACAGCTCAGAGACAGACAAGCCTATCTTATGTTGAAGTGTTTCACAGAATTCCTTCTCTCCATGTCCAGAGGACAGACTAATGCGCTTAGGGAATGGCCGAGGCGGGGGGAGGGGGAAGGCTTGCCAGCTCCAAGGTTTCCCACACCGTCATGGTCACGCGCGGCAAGGCGCATGACTTCCAGTCGGGTGGTCAAAAGAAGAGCTGGCGTCATTTTGTGCCGTCTTCAGCGGCCCCAAGAACCTAAGAAGGGTCACCTTTTCGCCAAGTTGTCAACCCACAAGTTTTGTTTTGGGATTGGAGGCCGCAATCCAAAAGCTGCGTTCAAGCTGGCCGGTGATGTAGAAATCTACAATTTGACAAGAGAGGCCACCCGGAAATTTGCTGCTCTTCATGTTGACTTGCGGGCAGTAGTCTCTTCTGCTCTTGTGCACCCTGCAGGATGGGAATTCGAAGCTTGGCTTCACTCGAACTGGGCAAAGCAAAGGTGCATGGGAGGTTTGGTTTGGGCTTGCTTACAGGAGGAGGAGAGCGAGCTCGTTTGGACATGAGCCCCCAAAATCATAGCCTATCCATTTTTTGGGATGCATGTCTCCCCGTGATTTTGATCTCAGGCGTGCACATGGGGCACCACCCCCGAAATGCAAAGTATGATTTGAGCCACAATCAAAACCCGGGTAAGTGAAGGTTAGTAAGGGACGATCCCAGCCATAAATAGCAGCGGCCGCCTTCTTAGTTCTTGAAGCATGGTTCTGGGTCGACCATTTTTGTACCGGGTTTTGAGCAAGCGACTCATGAGAGGGGCTCACCTAGACAGAAGCGGAGTAGCCCTCACCTCGCTTGGACTTTGAGACTTTGATCGAGCCTATGGATGTTTCCCAAGTGACATAGTTGCTTCTGGCCACAGGCCACGTGCAAAAAGTCGCATCCTTCCGAAACATTTCTCATTGAGCCCTATAATTACTGCCGTTGCTTTGGTTTCTGGTCAAACGTGATCAAAAGCGGCAGGGTTGTGCCAACCCCCCTTTTGAGGCATCTCGCTTTTGCTTCAGTTTCCCTTTCAAGCAAAAGCAGGGTTTGCTTGTTCCAAGGTTTTTGCAATGCCTCCCAAGCGCACATAGCGCACGAGGTGCGTTCGGGTTCGGCTCAAGGACCTACGAGGCGGAGAGCCCCGACGAGTACGCGCTGGTGAAGGCGGCGGCTGGCCTGGGCTGGGAGTTCCAGGGCCGCGCCTCGGAAAGCGAATGGAGTCGCAACGGCTTTTTTTGGTTTCCCGTTGAGTGCCACGGGTCCGAAAGCCACTGGTTTCCTTTTGGTGAGGGAGGGGTTTTGTGTGGTTTTGATCCACCTATTTGTTTTGGTTGCAAGGGCTCAAGGGCTCCGAAAGCCAAATGTTTAGATGAACTCACACAGTATGTGAGAGTGTGCGAGTTGTTTGCCCTGTGAGCGAGTCCAAAGAGAAACGATGAAAGCGCACCATGCTTTTGCGCCACATGTCTGCTTTTTAGGGTACCAAACCAACATGACCGCCTGGTTAGCCTGGTCAGTGTGTCCTCGGAGGGTGCCCTTTTCAGATTAGTTTGACCAAACGCAACCCAGACAATGGACATGATGTGTTGTAAGTTCCGCGGAAGGGAGGGCGACCCAGGCCACGGGAACATCTCACACGGGGGATGGGTGTCGCCGGGACAAAGGGCTGATGGGTCTGTAAAGCGGCTGATTCTTGCCACCATTTGGAGGGTGATTTTGAGGATGCCACTTTAATGGACCCAGAGGGAGGGAGGACGGGGATCAAAGGCAGTTTCCCCAAGTAGATCAATTGTTCCAAGTGAGATCTGAGAACAAGGAAGCAGGAGGGCGGCCAGTCGTGTGTGGTCCCTTTTTTGGTTTCAAAGCTTGGGTAAGTAAGACCCAACACGGTTCCAACATGCTCGCTCAAACCATCTCAAACCCCCTCCCCCCATTCCTCCCACATTTCATGGGGCGACCGGACCCCGAGCCTCAGGTCGCGGGACCGAGCTCACCGTGGGCGTGGCGAGCTCGAATTACCAGGCATCGGACTCTCGGCTGAGCTCGCGCTTGCGAGTCCAATGGAGATGCAAGGACTGAGGTCACCCAGAGTCCCCA